ACCCCCCCCCCCCCCCCCCCCCCAGTCTCCTGTTATTTCTTCCTCTCCTTGGTTGGGGGTAGGGAGGTTTCCAGTAGTTTTTCCCCCAAGCCTATAACAAATTGATGGCGCCTCGGACTACAGAGGCTGCTTACTTTGACTTGCTCATTTAAAGGTGGCAGAAAAGAAGAAAAAAGCCTGTAATACCTTTGGGATACAGTATTTCTACCTTCTCCAAAATCTTTGAGCTTATTAAAGATGAAGTAGTCATTATCTCCTTCTTTGAGTTTAGGTCAAGAAGCAAAAGTGGCTACAGTGCTACCAGATCATGCAGATGGGTGACATTTTAATTCTGTGGGCCTGTGGCTAGTTATTTATATACTGAAGGTCCTAAACTCTTGGGAAGGCACGTTAGGATAGACAGCCTAACATACTAAGCAGCAGGTTATAGTCTCACACATCAGCATTGGTTCAACTGATGGTGAGTTCCTAGGATCAGTTTTATTTTGAACAGGAAATAGTAATAACGTTTAAAGTATAATACAAACAATTGAAAGTGCCATTGTAAAGTAACATTTTAGTGTACCGATGGTGTTTGATCAGTGAAGAAATAACATTTACATGAAAACTAATATATGACTTTTATATTTCAACATTCATGCTATGATAGTAGCAGCTTTTCCTGCAAGGCAGAACATTTTATAAGGATTGTCAAATTGCCTAAAAAGTGAACAGTAAATTTTCCTATGAATAAAATGATTTAATATTTTAATTGAGCATACTTTAAATTTTAAGTATTTCTAGGTCTAAGGCTGTGATTATGTTAAATATGTATATTTAATCTGTTACATGTGCTGTCTGATAAAATGTTTGTTTCCTACTTTAACTAAAATGTTTTCACTTTGAAGGGAGCTAACATCCTATTAACAGATAATGGCCATGTGAAATTGGGTAAGTAGATTGGAATTTTGTCATATGTACAAACTATTTTGAAACATAGTAAGTTTATATTTTCTTTTATAGGACTAGGTTTCCCCTTCCCCTAGGACAGCTACTAGGTATTTTTAGATGGAAATCTCATTGCAGATCATATGTCACCTCTGTATCTGTTTCCTCTTCTCTTAAACAGGGGTAAAGTCTGTCCTTCACATATGATAGATTTGTTGTAAAGATATGTGAAATAATTTCCTTTCGGAATTCTTTTACCTCTGAATTCAGGAATGTCACTTCTAGTGAGAAATCAGTACAAAATTATCTTGTAACCAAAAAATAAGACAAACAAAAGTCAAAAAATCAGTAACTACAAAAATACTACATTCTTTACATAAGTTTTAAAAATAAAATACAGTATAACTTACATAAGAATGTAATTTAAATGCTGAATGTTGCTTTATTTCAAATAGTAACATACTTCATTTTGTAACTTTTACTTTAAGTTTATGATTAAAATAGAGTTCAAAACCTAAATAGTGACTCAGTTTGGAAGTTTAAGACAGGAAAAATGTTCAATATAGTAGTTATGTGAACAAAGTCACATCTGTTAGATATTAAATGAAGTATTTAATGACAAGTATGAAAATTGTCTTGAACTATATACAACAAAATTCAAAATATGTATTTGTTTTTATAAAAATATGAATAGAACTATTTTGAACTATAACCTACTGTAGGACTAGTCAGATTTAAGAATATGTATTTGGTAATTAACATATAATAACATTTTTTAAAGTGACCTTTAAATATGGGAAAAGCAGAAAAGTCCTACTCTTCTCAGTTATCTGAGTATTAATGACTTAGTGAACAGTTTCATCAGCAGTTTAATATTTTGTCACAATGTTATATGCTTCACTTAAAGAAATACTATATACTAGGGTACTCAAAAAGTTCATGGAAAAATAGAACTAAAAGATAATGCTAATCTTTCTGTGAACGTTTTGAGGTACACTTGTGTAATATATCTTAGTTGAGAAGGATTTAGAAATCATCAGTAATAAACTAGAAAATATTCGAACTCAACATACTTATCTTAAAGAATAGTAACAAATTCTACATAAAAATAAATTTCCTGATAGTGATTGATATTGGCAAGGTAAGGTTTGGGGAATGTTCTGTTGGGATGTCTTTTCAAACTAGATAGGCTTGAGGCTTAGCAGTAGACTTATTGGTTTATTTTTATGTCAGTCATCATGGGTGTGGCAGAGATTAAATGGAGTTTAATACTACTTAAACATCCCTTCTGGAGAATATTCCTTGAGTTTCAGGTCCTGGGAATTAGAAATTATAATGTTAATAAGTCTGACAGTTTAGATTCTCTCAACCATCTCTTTCTCATCAAAATTATTTGGTCTTAACCTTTGTTGTTATTTGATTCATGTGACTTTACATGGAGATCTATTTGGCTGTGATACACATGACTACTTTGTGGTGTTTTAATGCTAGCTCATTTAATGTGAAATTTTAATGTGATGCTTGAGACTATCTCATATTTCTGTAAAATTAACTTAATGAAAATAATTATTCAACGTTTCTTTTCATATTGACTTAAACAATTTTATTCTCTCTCAATTTTCTTTTCTAAATGTTTCTCATTTTATTAATAGCTGATTTTGGAGTATCTGCACAGATAACAGCTACAATTGCCAAACGGAAGTCTTTCATTGGTACACCATATTGGTAATTGTATTTTAATTGATATTTAATTTTTTGTTGTTCTGTTATTACTGGATATAGCATTCCTAAGAAATACACTGGTCAAAATTTTTAGAATTAAGACAAAGAAAAAGGTCATCACAGGTAAAGTAATTTAGGTATGTACACTTGTGGATGGATTACATGGTCAAAAAATATTTTACTATACTATTTTCTATTAAGCAGAAAAGGCTTGAAAGATGGATATGGCTTTCAGGAACCTTGATATGGTTCCAGCTTTGCTGGAAAAACCTGACTCTTGCTCCTACATGTATCACTTATATTTCCACAAATGTTTTTATATCTTTCTGCATCCCCATTTCCCATCCATATTCTGGTTAACCATTCAGCATTACATTATTCATAGTACCTCTTTGCTCAGAACTTTTTAGCATATCTTGGTTTGCCTACAAGATCAGATGCAGATTTCTTGGCATTTAGAATTCTTCTATGGTCTGGTCTCTATCTACTTCATTAACCTTAGTTCCTACTAGTCTCCTCTACAGATTTTCCCTTCTAGCTGTATTTGTCAGCTAGATATTTTTTGGCTATCCTATAAAAACCATCTTTTTCATCCATTGATTTTACTCAGTAGTAGTTTTTGGCCATTTTCTATGTGCTAGATATGATACTAATTAAGCACAATGACTATAGTGGCAGATAGGTATAGACCTTTTTTTGTTCACATCATTACTTTTTCTGAAGTAACAGCTCTCCAAAAGTCTTACCATGCCTTTTCCCCGTGTGCTACTGCTTCCCTGATGCCTTCCTACTCTTACTCCTCAGCAGTGGTGGAGCACTAATCTGAATTACTTGTTTTTCTATTTAGGATATGATGTATACAATTTTTATATCGATTTGTCTTTCTATCAAATATATGTTTAAAAAGTAAAATAGTGCTAAAAGGATTCATAAGAAAAACTCTTCTAATTGTGTCTTCTACTATCTCTAGCATTATTCATTACATATTTATAGATTTTGTGTTATGATAGGTGAAGATTTTGTCTCCCTTTATTTATATTCCAATCTTCTTAGCCTCAAAGTACTGGCTGAGTCAATTAATATATTACTATACTCTTTAACTTTTTACTTTATTTTTATTTTGATAGCAATTTTAGGCTTACAGAATAATTGAGCAGGAAGTACAGACAATTCACATCCCCTCCACCCCTGCACATATACATAGTTTCTCCGATTAGTAACAGCTTGCATTAGTTTGGTACATTTATTACAATTATGAACCAATATTGATACATTATTATTAACTAGAGTTGACAGTAGGATTCACTCTTCGTGTGGCACAGTTCTGTGGGTTTTGCCAAATGCATAATGTTATGTGGTCACGATTTCAGAATCCATTCAGAATAGTTTATTGCCCTAAAAATTCTCTGTGCTCCACCTGTTCATCCCTCCTGCCCTCCCTCCTCCCCTGATACCTAGCAACCACTGCTTTTTTTTCCCTCTGTACTTAAAACATTTATCATTTCTTTGTGTTGGGAACATTCAAAACCCTCTCTTCTAGCTAATTGAAAGTATACAATATAATTATTGTTAATTATAGTCACCCTACAGTGCTATACAACACTAAATCTTATTTCTCCTATCTAGCTGTAATTTTGTATCCATTAACTAAGCTCTCACTAATCCCTCCTTCCCCCTACTCTTTATTATTATACTTTCTTGAAAAAATTTTTCCTGAATTTAATAATTTTGTTATTTATTTGCTTAGATTTGTTTTTGTTTTTAATCCCTAGTTAATACTTCCCCTACCTTACCACATTTAATAGTTCTATAAGATGCTTCTATATAATTTTCTATACCATAAATCCTATCAGATTATGTCAGTCCTGATTTTTGTCTATTTGGTTTTGCTTTGTTTTAATTTGTTTTCTTCCTGTAATAATTATTCCTGTAGTCCTCCTCCCTCCTGTTTGCCTGTTTATTCTCTAGCTCTTTTGAATAGCTTTATTCTGGGAGTTTTTCCTCTTCATCATGGGAATTCTTTTATTGGATACCAAGTCTTCCTCTTTCATAGTTTACTCCCACTTTTTTTGTGAAACTCATGTTTTAGTATCTCTCTGAGAAAGGGTGCATGGGGAGTAAAATTTTTGAGACTTTGCATGTACTTGATTGATAATTTGGGTTGGTATAGAATTCTAGGTTGGAATTTTTGCACAAGTGTCTTCTTTTCTGTGGTGCTGATGGAAAGTGTGATGCCATCATGATGCATGATCCTTTGAATGTAACCCCTCACTCCAGAATCAGTCTTTGTGTTTTGATGTTATCCAATGAAATACCTCAGAATGTTTTCATTTGTTTTTTTCTTGTTTTTACTTTTATTCATTGTTCTTGGTATTTGTGCTTGACAAGTACTGTTGTATTACATCTTTAATAATTTCTTTGCTATACTTTTTCTGCTCTCTCTTCCTGGAATTCATTAGATATATCTTGGATCACTTGAATTAATCCATTAATTTTCTTATATTTTTTTCCCCACATTTTAAAAATCTTTTTTATTCTTCTTTCTATAAGAGTTCCTTGAATTTTGAGACTCATACTTTCATGATAAAGGCTTCCCTTAAGTGTCTGATAATTTTTATATTCTGGTTCACTTTGAAGAGCAATGCACTGCAAGCTGATTCATAGCACTTTGTGCTTTGGGGTTAGGGTGTAAACCTGGTTGTTAGTTTTCTAGAATTGGGCACATGAAGGAAGATGGGGAAGTCATTGTTAAGTACACACACTTCTACTTAATCATGTCTCATCCTCCTATCCCCGGCCCCTGCTCTCTCTTGTTTCTGGTATCTCTGAGTCTGAAGCTGCTCTTGTTTGCCTTGGTCCTTATCCAGTAGGAACGGGGGGGGGGGGGGGG